ACACCCATACACAAAAAACTTAATGCATAAAAATTTGAAAGGAATTATCTTATTTATATGATGCAGATTTTATCAAATAATTCAGACTATACCTATTGGTAGAAGCTATGTTGTACCTTCTTGATGCATATTTCTCAAGCTCTTCTAAAACTTGTTTTAATGCTTCAGGATAGTGATGAAATTTGTTGACAGAGAGCATGTTATCTGATGGCCCTTCGTATTCAACTATGAGGAATGACATGAAGTAATGTGTTTAAAATGTGATGAGAGTAGAGTTTTCCCTTCCAATTTTTGTCTATTTTCATCTTTGTTTCCAAGGGTGAAAATTTCTGGCAAAAATAAAATTAGTGCAGTCAGAATTTATGTAATCACATCCAGGGAACCTGACCATTATTCCCAAGCTTTTGGAATGCCACAGCAATCACATCCAATGGACATCAAACTTCACTCCCCTTTATCAAATCCTGTAAAGTCAAAGGACACTTGGGAAGTCTACCACCTGATGACTTCCTTATTTTATAGCCTCTGCTCTGAGGCAATTCTTGCTGGAGCCGATAAAGGCAAGGCAAGGTTTACAAGCAGTAGTTAGCTCAAACTCCCCTTTATTACACAGTTTTCTCCTTACAGGACTTAAACAACCCCACATATGCAATTATAGCCACAACACTGCTTTCACAATGTCAAGTGAATTTTACCTTAAAATTGCTAAGGTCAATCTGGAAATAACTATCATTGTACAATTGTCGGCAATTTTAGAGCCACCCTCAATGACTACATACAGTTGAAAAATGTGTTAACTGGGTAGGTAATTTACTTACTGTTGCAGAAAAACAAGAAAAAATTATTCAAATACCTATTGGATTCATGGCATTTCATGTTAAGTTGAATATTTTTCTCCCTGAATAATGTTGACATGACTGCAATGAGACAAGGCATTAGACTTGATTAGAGCTAAGTTTAATATTGGGTTCTGTACATTGCTGGTTTGGAAACTAGGTTGACAGGACTATTTGAGAGCTGTCCTCTACAGAGTATCACACAGGCAAACAACACTGTTATCTCCAGAGGGATTAACCTTGTGAGCAAATTATGCAGGTCATTCAAATCCAGTTAATCTCAGAGAAAAAAAAGTTAATTGCTTTGGCAAAGAAGTTGCCTCTGACCGCTACATAGATATATAATTAGGGATCAGCCAACATAAGGGGACTTTAACTAATTGATAAGCAGCACACAGGTGACTCTAGAGGTTTCTCTCCCTGCCTTTTCAATATGTGGTCAGACATAAGGGGATACCATGGAAAAACTCAGTGGTCTTATTTTGATATGTCTTAAAATTAAGTTGGCTTGTTCAATAGATCAAGGTTTCCACAGTTGTTGATTTTAATTGTTCCGAGCTTCATGGACATACATCTCTGCAGACATTAGTAGTTATTGAATGTGATCTTTATCTCTCACTAGATTGTTCTATTATCAACTTAACACCCTTACTCTCTCCTGACTTTCCATTCTTTTCAGGTAATTGTAGTACAAAAAGAGATACCTTAGACACTTCTATTTGGCTTTCTTCTTCATTAGGTCAATTCCTCACTTTTCATTCTTACTGATTCTTAATATGGGCATGAAACTCTGGTCAGTGAACAAGAAGTTACCATCTTTACCACCTAAAGAATCTTTATTATGCATAAGAATATAATATATATTGGTTTAAGTGCTATAGCCATAGATGTTACCATATTTGTTTTATTTCGAAATAAATTACCTATTTACAGTTGCTTATGCAACCTTCATTCACTATTGATTCAAAGTTAATTTCACTTAAATGAACATAAACCTTATTTACAATGGCCTAAGCCTGCTGGGATCATACTTAGCAATATGTTCAATTTGTTTTAGCAATATGTTCAATTTGTTTCAAAACTCCTTCTACAATTGTGTATTTCATCTTGTTCATCTGATAGAAAATTCATTTTGGATCCCTTAAGTCTACTACCTTTATTAATACTTCAGAATCTCTGTCAGTATAAAATGAAGTAAATTTACTCAGTAACCCTTTGGGATAATTTACTTTTCTCTTCTGTTTGACCTTTCACAGATTCACCAATTCGAACCTTGTCATATACATTTTAAAGGGTGCTGCTATGGACCATCAGAGCCTTCAGCACTTCTCCATCAGTCAGGCTGTCTGCTTTCTTGAATCCTTCCACATGCCTGTCACAGCCATGGCCCTCACTCTGTGGCCAGTTTCATCTCCCACCACTTTATGTAACCAAGCTGCTGGCTGTTTACAAGCCATTAAGTTTGGAGCCTGGGGTAGGAGAGGGCACATTCACATTTGCCTAATGACTGAAAACACTGCTATAGTTTGTTTCTCCATAGGCCAGATTATGGTACAATACTCCCATTAACATCAGAGAACAGAAGAGGGCTCCTCTTGAAATATCATTTTTCAGTCTCAAGTGATGTTATTAGTGATTTCCTCCCTGTTAGCAGGGGGTGAATTCAGACTCTGGATGAATACATCTAACAGCATAGAAAATTGCCCTCTCACTTCCTATGCTAATGTACTATTAACATTTGGGACACCTATATAGATAAACTAATCCTATTGTCTATGTACTGCAGAAACAATAACTCAGCATCATCATGCTTAAAATACATAGTTGAGGAACACAGTATCCACCATTTAAAAAGACAACAGGTCACCATTGAAGCTATGGCGATAGTTCGATGCTTTGCGCATTCAGATCCCCAGATTTACATAAATACCTGAACACTTGGAGATTCAGCCCTTTTTTCATTTTTAGCAATGGAAGGCAGAAACTAGTGCAAGATATGACAGTAGACATAATGCCCTGAGTTTGTTTAAAGAGTTGTGAGTAAATTAATAAGGAAGAAGAACGATGGAGTGTAATTTCCAGTATCAACCTTGGACCGTTATATGTTCCAATCATGCACATTTGTACATTCTTTCACCATATGTGTTTTCATGTATGCAATGAGCACATGAATGTTTACATGCATGTGCTCACATGTGTTTGTGTGTGTGTGTGCATGCAGTTTGTATTTTGTCTGACAGATAAGTTCATAATCCATGGTCTATGTAGCAACACACGAGGAGAGTGAAAGCCGACGTGAAGCACCAAGTCTTTTAAGTAAGCACACACACACACACACACACACACACAGAGAAACACACACACACACACACACACACACAAACACACACAAAAATGGAAAAAGGAAAATATTAAATTAATCCTTCTAACTTGTACATTTGCTCTGTGGTTTAGACAGAATCTTTAATTGATAATTAATTCTGCTTACATTATACTCTTTCGAAGCAACACATTATTTTCTAGTCTGGGCTGCTTGCAAATTCTATATTACAAACTTTCCATGATTACAGGCTGGAGAGATGGCTCATTGGCCCAGAAGACTGTGTGTTCTTCCAAAGAACCCGAGTTTGAATTTCATCACCCACAGGGTAGCTCAAAACCATCTGTATGTACCAGTAGTTTCAGGATATCTGATGCTTTATTCTGATGCCTTCACAGATAATACACACATGTGATATACAGACATATATTCAGTTAAAACACAAATAAACATAAAACATAATAATAAAATAAAAATAAAGAAACATTTTCTGATAAAATTCTATCTGCCTATTTTTATAGCTTTGAACTTTGAAGTTTCAGAATACAAATACTTAAATATATATATAGCTCTTTGCCAACATCTAGTGTCTAATTCTCAGTGGAGACGTAACTTTCTCAGCCTTCTAAATGCCCACAATTATCAAATTCCTTGAGAAAAAAATTTCCCTTGGCATTTCACAATTGTTTTCTGAATATTGATCTTGATGTCAATAAAAATGCATATTCACAACCTGTGTTCTTAGTTTGTTATTTTAAGTGATTTAGTTTCAAGGAAGGTTTCCTGCTCAATGTGTTTCTTTCTGTGTGACATTATATTCACAATTCTAAATTGGAAAAGTTGAAACTGAAGTCTTAACAGGCTAACCGTGGCCATATGGTCAGATTCACTTTGTCAACTCCCCCTGGAACTCACTTGTCTTTCATGACCTAGTTTAGTTTCTCCTTCAAAAAGTAGCAAAGCTGGACTTAATATATGATTCAGAAGCTGCTGTTCATAAAATTTAAGAGGTACATTTTCTAGTGGCTGCACTTTATCTAAAAAGACAGATACTGGACAAGGGATTTAACTGTTTAGGGGTGCGGTGAATAAACTGATTTTGTCTCATATACTTCTTTGATGGTAAGACCCTTGTAATAAAGAACATTTTTCTAACATAGAAAAAAAAAGAACTAGAATATAGTCCAAAGTATAAAATTAGAGGACTGAAACATTAAAGAATAGCGCTGAAAAAAACTTGAAGAAATTTAGGAAGGATAGTAAACAATTAGCAAAACAAAACAGCTATTTTAAAAATGCTGAACAGCTTTAAACACATCAATTAAAATATTGATGAATACATTGTATCTTTATAAAGTAGTATATCAAATGGAAAATGTTAGAGAGTATTTTTTAAGTGCAGTATTTTCCTGGAATGCTATTGATGATTCCATAATTAATATTTATTACTTTTTATTATTTTTTATCAACTTTATCATTTACTTTTTCTACTGTGAACAAGGATAATAGATCAATAATTTTAAACTCCTGTTTGTACGTGATTTAGTGTTTTGTATTTCAATGATTGGTTTCACCTATTTTGACTCAAGAATTCACTTCATATCAACTTATCCTTTCCAGGAGGCTACACAGTCTGATACAGAAACCATATTGATTTTTAGGTTCAAAAATATCTTTCTGTTTAATTGTATTTGATTAATAAAGGCTTATCAGTTATAGGTGAGCTTCAGAGTTAGGTCTGTGTATCTTAAGAAAAAATTACATATCTGTTTATTTATTTTGAATTATTTATACATTAATCATGTATACCTCGTCTAATTTGACTCTGCTTTTTTTCCCCAAAGAACGACCCACATTTCTCAGGAGGCCAATTAATCAGGTGGTGCTAGAGGAAGAGGCTGTAGAATTCCGTTGTCAAGTCCAGGGAGATCCCCAGCCAACAGTGAGGTGGAAAAAGGATGATGCAGACTTGCCAAGAGGAAGGTAAGCCTATCATGTGGAATAACGTTTAGATATCCAACATTCATGGTTCCACCACCAAAAACATTATATTCTTGGGTATATAAAAATATTATATATCTTGGATAGCTTCACACATGTGATTTTTGTTTTTGACTTCTTACCTACTGTGTGCATTTCCCAGTCTTTCACATTTATGATGTCCATCAATGGAAGTCCATATTAATTCCTGATCTTTCTCTCTACCTATCTTGTTCAAGTACCACTCATCCTGAGGTATTATCTTCCTCAGGACTACTTGTATGTTTGCTAATGATTCTCTGAATTCCTGACCAACCATACACAAGTGTCCCTTATTATGGGCCTTGTTTGTTTAATCTGCAATGCCTGTCTTGTATGCGCAAAGTATCTATAACAAAAGGCTGTTGAGTATAGATGGCCAAAGGGACTTATATAAAATAGAGATTAACAAGGCTCATCAAATAGATGGGCTCCCAGGAGAGTTGTCCTCAGTGTGTTCCTGGCACTCTCCCTGTTTTCCTCAGAGATAGGTTTTTCATTACTCTCATTCTTTTTTTTTTTTTTTTTACCAATCACAGTATCTCCACTTCAACATTTCCAAAAAATCCAAAAAAATGCCTATCATCTTATAAAAAAATAATTTGTGTTTTCTAAATTTTTCTGTTAAAATTTTTTCTAACCAGGTGTGGTGGGCCAAGTCTTCATCCCAGCACTAGAAAGGCAGAGGCAAAAATCAATCAATCAATCAATCAATACCTTTATATCTCTTATCAAATATATCCTTCAGTTTTTCTCTTCTTGTAAAGCAATAGTTCTGTTTCTGTTTCCTCTGCCCTCTCCTCCTTTCTACCCTCTGACAGAACAGCCAACATACCTACTACTGTTATTGTCTGTGTTAAATTATATTATCTGTAATTTATCAAGTGTTTCCTACTAAAGATACTTATTTTCATTCAACAGTTTCAAGTGAAACATGTTTTCACATAAGTCAGCCTGCTCTATATAGTGAATCCCAAGACTACCAGAGCTACATAGTGAGACCTCCAAAACAAATCAATAGAAAAAACAAACAAACAAATACAAAGGCAAACAACAAAAACAACAACAAAATTGCTGAGACTTTAAAGATGTTTAAAATCTGAGTTTTAATTTGTGCTTATTTCAGTTTAAAAAAACAAAAGTCCTACGGAGTTGCCTGTATATCTTGAGCTCACTTTCCCTCATTCATCCACCAACAAAATATTTCTCACATCTAGTGAAAAACGGTACAATGATTAAATACAGGATAAGCATTATTTTGATTGATTCAGTTTTCATTATTGTCTTTTTCTGTTCCAGAGACCAGTCCAGGATATGTGTTTAATTTCGAGATGTAGGCTTAGTGGTTTAGTTGAAAATTTTCTCAATCAACTTTGGTCTTTGACAGAGTCACAGTGCTTTTGACTATTACTAGCCTTGTATTCTAGAAGAGGAGTACTGGTCACATGTGGCACAGAATAGACAAGCCTGAATTTAAGTGTTGTTTTACATGGGTGGATAGACTGGCTATGTGATATTATAGAAAGAATGCCATGGAGGTGACTTGCATCTCATCACATTGAATCAGAGACTCAGGAGTCAAGGAATCATACTGTTTGCTTGCCCTACTTTTTGTCCAGACAGTCCTGAGTTACATACTAAACCTCCTAGTCTCCAAGTGCTAGAATGATAGACATATACCTCTATGCCTGCTTTGGTCTTGTTGACCTTTATAAATTTCATTTTAACTTCATAGATCAACTTTATATTTTTAATTTATTCTTTTGTGTTCATAGATGTGTACCATAATTGTAAAGTAAGATCAACTTGAGATTAAAAAAAATACACTAGTAAGTTTTGAGACTGTACTTAATTGTAATATACCTATAGTTTTTAGTGGAATATAATTAAATATATTTAGATGGAGTATAACTAAAATATAATTTAGGATTCATTTTATTTTCTGATTTATTATGTGTAATATGATCAATATGATGTTACCTCTTCCATATTATCCATGTCTTGTAAAAGTAATTTGCTTCAAACTTCATGTAATTTGTAAAAAAAAAAAAAATCCAGAAGTACAATATAAATTACATTTTCAAGCGGTACAATTAGATACAAAAATTATTCAACCCTGCTTTTTTCAAAATATTGTGTAGTTTTGGTCCCTAGTCTTGCTACTGGGATTATACTCTACAGTATTTATTTGAATGGCTAATTTTTTTAATTCATTTGACAAATGGAAGTGTTAGCTTTAAACCATTGTGTTAGAGAGGCTCAACATGCAAATTAATGACTAGTTCTATCTTGATGGAAGTCAGGCACTTTTTTTCCTTCTCAGGCTCAAGTGACATTTCAAGAAATCTTATTCAGTCTTGATTTGTGCATATTAGCCTAACATTTACTTTAACGTGAAAGAAAGACAGACTCTTTTCTTGGGGAAGGATAGCAGTAATACTTTTCACCAAACCACAGACTAAGTCAATAACATTGATTCCATTACATTTTTAGCTCTGAGACAAGGGAGATGACCATTGTTCTTGCATAAGTAATTGGTGTGGAGGATGACATTTATTTGGCTTAGTGTTTATTGAAATCTGAATACAGTTTGTGTAGTAGCTTAAAACAGTGATGGTAAGCAGTGTAGGGCAGCTGCATAGCCTGTAATTACTATGTAAGTAATATGTGACTATTTTTCTTTTGGAGGCAAAGGAAGCTTTTCAATTCATGTTTAAATAGATGAAATGCTGTGATAGCTACTTAACCCATCAACACAGAAGAAGATATCTGTGCCAAAACTTTTTGGTGAGCAGAGATGGGCTGAGGATTAAGGGAGTATTTTTGCCTTTGATTCACTCATCCCAGGGAGACTATTTTTAAAACAATAACAATATGCCCATTTATTTTGTTAAGCATTAGTGTCCTAAGTTTTTTCCTAAAAATAACTTTAACAGCACATTTTTACTCAGTTGAAATATTATTATTATTATTATCATTATTATTTTACAACTGGAGTGTCTTGTTGAGGTAGGAAACTTGGAAAGTCTAATAATAGTTGTATGCCCAAACCAAGACATACAATTGAATGTGATTATTTTCTATAGAGTTAAAATGGAAGGTATTTTACACTGTGTCTGTTTAGCAGAGTATAGTTTTTTGTTTTGTTTTGTTTTGTTTTGTTTTGGAGATACACTTAAAGATATTAGTTCATAACTGACTATCAGGAGGAAAGATCTCAACTACTTTTTAGTAACTATAAAAAAAATCATCAGTACATGTTTTTTTTTTAAGAGTGTCCCAATAAATATGAGATGAGAGAATACAACAGTGTAGGGCTAGACAGATGAATTAATGGTTCCTCTTCCAGAAGACCTGAGTTCAGTGACTGGGTGACTGGCAACTACCTGTACCTCCAGCTTTAAGGACTCTTAACAGGTTGTTCTGGCTTCCACATATAGACAGACACAGACAGACACACAGACAGACAGACAGACAGACAGGCCACACACGCATACACACACACACATTCATTAAACACAATATTTTAAAACAGAGAGTCTTATGAAGCCCAGACTGACTTTTTAAAAATTTTACTAGGTAGCGAAGGTTGGCCTTCAACTTATGATCTCCCTCTATGCATCTCTCTAGTGCTGGGATTACAGGCATCTACCAACACACCTGTAAAGTAAGTTTCTTGCACATGAATCCAAAGACAAAATCGCAGAGGTAAAAAAGGGAGGAACTTAAGAATATGAAATGGTTTTAATTTCTAATAACACATTTGCACCTGTGGAATTTAAATAGAAGCATCAATTTATTGAAAGCTCTCGGTACGCATCACCAGTTTGCAAATGTAATTCTTTAAAACAGAGTACAAGTAGTGTACCACTTTTGTTTGTTTGTTTGTTTGTTTGGTTGGTTTTTTTTAATTGTAAGTTAATGAGACAAAGCAGTATGGACAGCCATTTACATACTTAAAACATCAAAGACAAAAAGCTGAGGAAGAACTCTTTGTTTCTCAGCATTGGATCCTTGTGTGTCAGCTGACCCTAGATGCTTATACTTGTTAGTGAACTTTGAAGATCAAGTGATTTATTAAATGTTTTCACAAGTATTTTATGTGAGAGAAGTTGCTTGAAGTTCTAATGAAGAGGGCAGTATTCCATTCTCTGTCATTTTACACTGTAAAATAGATTATCAAAAGAGTACATCAAAAATCCATATGCTGCTGACTCTACCAAAATATTATAAGCTAATATAAAGGAGTGCATATTATCTGCTGTACAAAGAAGTAAGAGCAAAATTGACTAGCATTTACTAAATTGTTGTATCTAACCTAATAGTGGGATGGAGATCTTTTAAAAAAGGTTCTTAGAACTTGGGTAAATAGAAGGGAGATTATACTTATTATGATTCTATATCTAAACGTAAAAGCACTGTCTGTACTTCAAGTTGTTAGCAACATAGTAAACTGAACATTTAGCATATTTCATCATTTGTGTGATTTCTACTATGTCACCATTATTTAACTTCCCAGGCTTTTTTCCAATTTTATTTATTCTGTTTTCTAAACTGGTTCTAAAGTGAGACTAACTTCCGCAATAAGGATCTCTAGTAGAACGGAATGTTCATAATAGCTTTTCTGTGGGGACAAAAAGAAAAAAAGAAATAAAATATGCCATTTACATTCTTATGTATGCCTGCCACTTCTAAATGCAGTTGATAGCTTCCATATAGTGTAGGTAATTCATGAATATTTCATAAAACAGAAAGGGGCCTACAGAATAAGCATTGTAAGAAATATAGTGCAAATTTCCCTCAGCCCACTGACAAGTTCCTTGTCTAAAGTCTATTTTAAGTGAGATTTTTTTTCTAGAATTCTTAGTCCCGTGGAATATGCGATTCACAGAACTACATGATTCTTTCAGAAGAGAAACTGAATAGAACCACTTATAACTCCCTTTTTGTGCAATTTTGAACAA